GAGTGTGTATTAAGTAATTCCTACCATTGGTGGGTGGGTCATACGTTTTATAAATTGCTTATGGATAGTGTTTCCTTTTAGCCAAATGGCACACGCTATTTTCCCCATTTTACAGATGAAGAAACTGAGGCTCAGAAAGATGAATTGACCTGCCAGAGGCCGGCCAGGCGATCGCAGTAGGACTCCAGGCTGGGTCTGTGTGACCAAAGCTCAAGCTCTTAACCACTAAGACATCTTTTGTTTGTTTGCTGAAGCATTTGAAAAAAAACTAAACCCACATAGGAACACACGCCGTCCATACTTGTAAGAACTATACATTTTACATCAGGTTTTTTCAGAAAACGTTCTCTTAGATTTAAAATGTACACATTACTAGTCTAAGTGATTTGTAAAGTAGACAAAACAAAGCAGTTTTGTGATAGAAATACCCGTTGCATAGAAGAAATCTCATACATGAGTTCGAGGCCGGAGGACGTATTTGAAAGAACAGTATTCCCAGTTAGCTGGGGGTAACATCGCCCAGACACGTGACGCTGCATTCGGAAGTAGGGAGATGCCACCGAGCCTGGATAGGAAGGGCTCTTATTTTTCAGGTAAAACGTTAGATTTCTAGTTGTTTCTACTAGACGCACGTTCTTCCCGCCGCCTGAACTGCCTCACCCACCCTTTGATCTCATCTCTGGCCAACCCCAGGAGCCAGCTCCAAGATGGCCTCCCGCCTCGCTCTGCCATTTCTCTCCTTTCTCCTCCCTCCTTGTGGGGCACCTACATTCTCCCGTCCCTCCTCCAGACCCAGAGCAGGCTGGCGGCTGATCACCCATCAACACTTCAGGAATGAAGCCCTCTCATCCTCTTGATTCCGCGGTCGTGGCAAGGTTAATCAAAATAGGTCTGTTGTTTCGTGTGACACCTTCTTGGGACGGAAGTCACAGCCATTCTGACCCAGCAGCTCAGGCTGCCCAGATCGCCTGGGATGGCCCCTTTCCTGGCTCAGCCTCCCCGCAGGGTTCCTTCTGTTTTCCAGATCGTCATTTGTAAACAGGATTCTCTTTTTAGCTTTCGCCAGTTCAGAGCTGATAAATTCAGTCTAGTGAATGAAAGATCATTTGGGGACACTCACCCCCAAGAAGATGCTTCCCCTTCACAGAGCTGGGGTCTCGGGTTTCCTGGAATGGCGTTCGCTGTGCCTCTCTTTACTTTCAGTTCGGTTTTTACCATTTAACTGAAACAGACAACAGCATGGAAAAAGAGCACAGGCCTCAATTATCCAGGCAAACCCTGGTTTGAGAGACCGAAACTGGTGTAGGCCAAAACCCACCTTAAATTCCTAGTCCCCAAAGGAGTTACTGTCAATTCTGAGTTGAAAGCCACTCAGACGGGAGCACGTTTGAAGTTTGCCTTAAACTGATCATCTGTAATGAAGCGCTGAAAGCAATATTCCAACCCCGGGTAACAGCACTAATAAATACAAATGTTACTAGCACCTTCAAGTATTGGGTCGTCAGAAAAGTCATGGCGTATTTTTTGCATAGAAAATACCCAATATTTATGTAATTTGGCTAATTAACATGAAACCAGTGAGAAAGATCATTTTGGATACTGATTTATTAACAAACGCCTACGAAAGAGCTGACTCAACCGTGTAGGCCCGGCCGGAAGTATAAGAACCTGCCCACCCCAACCCTACCCTCCCAAAATCAGCCCTCTACGACGCCACTGGTCTTCATGTAGGACTTCTGATTGTGCCTTCTTTTATTCCCACTACCTCGACCTCGTTTCGGTGACAGGTTTTATTTCTAAATAGCTACTAGCTAGCCCCCACACCAGAACAAAGGCGAGGCGGTTAGCTTGGGGCAGGTGGACAGCCAGCTCTATTCCAGCGTGGCCCACGCCGCTCAGCAACAGGGACGCCTTCTGAGGGATGCGGCACGAGGCCATCTCGTGGGGACGTCCCCGAGTGCCCTTACACACACCCAGGGACTGCGGGCGGGGCTGCCCAGGACGGCCCTGTGCCCGGCTGCGAGCCTGTGGCACTGTCACTACACCGAGTCCTGGAGGTCACACAGTGGTGGTACGTGTGTAAACACACCATGTAAACATGCTACATAGCATGTAGACACATTGCATGTAGGAGAGCTTCAGTGAAATATGGCCTGAAGCGTACACGCCCGTGAAGGCCCTTAGCGTGAGCGGGGCTGCAGGACCATAAGGTGCACAGGTGCGGCATGGGAGAGCCGGAGGCCGGACACACCCAGGCCACCCACACTTGGTTGGTTTTGTTTAAATTTTACTAAAAGGCACATGTGCTCATCAAAGAGACAGAGACAGAAAGTGAGAAAGCGGGACGGTCACCACAATCCCTTCTCCACGCCTCTCGCCTCCGGGACGCAGGACGCGCTGGCAGGGGCGTGTTTCATGCCGCTGGGTCCAGGAGTGGGCCGCACAGTTGACCATGCGGCATGCAGCCACCTAAACCACTCCCTGCCCGCTGCTAAATTCACTAAATGCACACTAAGTTCATGTCCATTTTTTCTCCAATAAGAAATTAACCTTAACTTACTACAACTTTTTTATTTGATAAACGTCTTAGTTTTAAACCTGTTTGACTCTTTTAAATGACACTTAGCCTAGAACACAAACACTGCACAGCTATACAAAAGTATTAAGGAACATGCAGATTATTCAGGGCTCCAACCTCCGTTGTGTGTCTTGAACTTGATACGCATGCTCTTGTCATTCTTTTCTTTGTCTTTCCTTTGCCCCTCCAAAACTAAAACTCAACTTGGCATTAATGGGCACTCATGTATGTTAAAATGATCGAAAAAATTCCTTAAAGTCAATTTTACAGAGGTAGGCACACAGACTGTACTCATTACATGACTCACCAAAATCACAAATTAGAACATTAAAAAGGTACAAGAAATAAAACAAGAAAAAGTGATTTTCTTAACTTCTCTCCCCCCAGTAGAAAAATGATGTTTAGGGTGAGAGAGAAAAAGGGTTTGTCAAGGAGAGCCCTTCATCTCAGTCCCCTCTCCCACACCTGCTCCTCTTCAACTCCCCTTTCTCTCACTTTGAATGGAGAATCTTGGGGTCAGTGTTCAGGACCGAGCGTGGGCAGCTGGGAGCCGGCACATCGGGCAGCTCTCCAGGTGGGGGGAGATGCATGGTGTCACTCTCGTGAGGATTTAGTTACAGAGCAGAGTTCAACTCAGTGACCCAACTCAGCTCCCCAGATTCGAGAGCTGCCGACGGAATGGAAGACCCTGCGGTGACTGTGTTTACATATTTACCTGCCTCGGAACGGGAACTTTTTAACACTGCTCTGCGCTGAGGGAGAGGGACATTTTCAATAGCTAGTGTTTGGTTACTTTCGCCTGCATTTGGGGAAAAAAAATATCTTGACTTCTACCTCACATCACACACAGAATCAGTTCTCAATGAACTCATATCAAAAATGAAAGGGAAGAATGGCAGCTTTAGAATAAACACAGAAGAACATCATCATGACATTGGAGTAGGCAAAGAATTCTTTTTGTTTGTTTGTTTTGGGAGAGGTTTTTGCTATAGGGCGCGTGCACTTGCCAGAAAGACAGGGAGAGACAGAGAGACAGAAAGTGAGAAATCCCCCCCCCGGGGGGGAATGACCACGCCGCAATCCCTTCTCCTCCATTCTCCTCTTGGGATCTTGAGCACGCACGCACACACACATGCCCGGCATGAGTTTAAGCCACTAGGTCCAGGACTTGAACCACGGTCAACTACATGGGAGTCTAGCAACATAGCCATTACACCAACTGCTAGTCCCCAGCAAAGAATTCTTAAGTGGGATGCAAAAAGGGATAACTACAGAGAAAATCATGAAATTGAGTTTTTTTGCAATTTAGAACTTCTGATTATCAAAAACACCTGTAAGCAAGTAGAAAGGCAGGACAGAGTGAGAAAAGATGTTTGCAGTACACATTTTGGAAAATGACTCGTATTCAGAACATGTAAATAGTCTAGTAAATATATCTACCTGTATACAACAGAATATGTGTAAAATAGGGGCCAGTAGACGGTGTAGTGGTTACACCACTGGACTCCCACACGGCCAGCCATGGTTCAAATCCCAGACTCATCGACTTGAAAATCGTTCTGGGCACATGTGCATGCATGCCCAAGACCCTGGAAAGAGAATGGCGAAGGGATTGCAGCGTGGCTCTCCCCCGGATTTTTCCCTCTCTCTCTCTCTCTGGCAAGCACATGTGCCCTGAGCTAAAAACCTCTAGAAAAAAATGTGTAATATGTAAGGACACTTCAAAAAGTTCATGGAAAGTAGAATTAAAGTATAAATCTATTTTGGTGCAAAAAATTTGAAATGAACACAATACATACTAGGACATTGCTAACAGCACTGTTTGTAACAGCTAGGGCCGGGACACAGCTGGCGAGGAAAGGGAGCCGCACTTAGTAAGTGGACCGTAGTGCACTCACACGACGGGCTGTGTAGCCGTACGGACTACACACGAAGCCGCCGATGAATTCTCATGTGTTGAGCCAGAGACCAGACCCCGGGTTGTATGCTGCATTCGTACGATCGTATGTCGTACGGTTCTGTTTACGGAACAGAGAGTACAGGGACAAGCACACTAGTGTGTGTCGGCAGAAGTTGCCGCAGGGGACAGTAACGGTGAGCAGGAGCAGCCTGCGGGTGACGTTTCGGTTCTCTAGCTGGGATCCATTAGCAGAGGAGTGCAAACTTATTTGGCGTAGTTTAGACTTATGACACGGCGTGTATGCACATGGACGGGTGCACACACACACGTGTGTTACCGTGCTCACATTCTAACCATGCTGGAATCATATCAACCGTTTAGAACCAAAATTCCTTTAGAAACCACACGCAGAGCCCCTCAGTGCCCCCGCGTGACTCTCGACCGGCTTATTTACTCAGGCTACATTTTTTTTTTCTAATCACAAAAATTATCTTATTTCTTTCTTTCTTTTTTTTTTTTTAGGGCCCTCCTGGTCCCAAAGGCGATAAGGTAAGAACTAAACACAGGGGGTTTAGGCCGGCTTGTCTGGGTCTCCACTTTTCCAGTGAGCATCACGTACGGATTGTGGCTAATACTCGCTCGCCTCTTCCTTCTCCACAGGGGGAGCAGGGCGACCAGGGACCTCGGGTAAGTCGTGCTCTCCCTCTCCTTGGCAGGAAATACGTTCTTATCCCCAAAACTGCTGAATGAAAGCGGCCCATCTGCCTAACTGCCTTTGTGCCGTATTGTTCAGTAATGGCTAGCAAAAATACCACCCACTTGGAGGTTAAAAAAAGCCTTAATGCCTTAATATAACTAATATGGAATATGTATATCCTGTATGTTATCTCGGCTCGGTGCCCATAAATAAGACGTTCTACGATAACTGCACCTCCTGACTGAGGGGCACCACAGCCTCCCCCCCAGTGCCCGGTCCTGCGGCTTTGCACGCCTCGGAACCATGAAACCTTGCGGCTTTCCATTGAATTTGGCTTTTTCTGCACTTAAACTTTCTGTGCTCTTGCATAAATATGTTTTATTATAGATAAAAATACTAATGCATTTTACATGTTTATTCTTTCATGTAAGCTTGAATATTACTTATTTGAATGTCTTGTTTTTTAGATTTTTAAGCGGATAAAAGTTGTAATACAATTTAACCGGGTCGGGGGGGGCATTCTTTCATTTTTCTCAAATGTGGCCCCGTTAGCCATTCTAGCACAATGGCGAGTGCTCTGTTGTGACCTTGGTAGTGCCAAGTCCCCCACTTCACATCTGTGCCTCGTTACCCGATGTTCAGACATTCTGTTCCAGTGACGTAGTGGCTCTGTTCAGATGCACCTCTCAATTTCTCATGTCACTGTGCACAAAGGCAAGTATTTGGTTAAAGAGTAATTTTTTATACCAGGAAAGCACACTTGAAACCTTCAGGTTGAAAACGGAAACTGGGTGGGTCTTCCTGTGATACGCGAAGTGCTTATTAGTTAACGATGTGGTTTGTTTATGCTGCGTATAAGGAAATGTGTGCACACACGAATATATATGCATTGTTTTTGCAAAAGATGCATCGGTGCAGGCTCGACAGGCCTGCAGTGTTACGATCTCCTCACGTTCATTAACCCAGGTGAGCGTTACGCTCGGGTTCCCTCCCCTTCCACTCTCCAGCCACGTGGCATGACATTTGGGTCATGCCTCAGGGCATCTCGTGTCTCTGGGCCATTGTCGTAGCTGACGACCACCTTCGCGCTGAGAGCTCACCTTGCGGGTCGCAGAGATTAGGCACCTCACATCCAGAGTGATGGGCGTGGATGCAGTGAAACCCCCTGACCTGACCTGAGGAGAGGGCAGCCTCGCGCTGTGTGCATGGTGACCATCACACCGCATGGCCCCCGTGCGAGCATCGCTGCTTTCTACACACAGTGTCAGAGCCACTCCGCCTGCCCGTCCAGGTAAGAGGGAGACGTTGCTGTTCTGAGAGATCTTCTGGCAAAGGCAGTAAAGGGGTGTCATCGGAATGGATGCCGTCCCCACTTTCGAAAAGGTGTGTTGGCTTTCATCATTACCAGGAGTGATGATCGATCATACGGCGAGGCCAGATTTTTGACTGGAAACCCGAGACCGTCTGAAAGTCACCTGGTTTCATGTTGCGTTACAAACTAAGACTTGGACCAGGCTCCTTGGAAGTTTGGCCAAAGTTTACGAACTACTTTGACAAACCAGACTGCCTTTCACGCAGGCTTCAGCCAGTTTTCACACTGTCTGGGCCAAGTTTCACACGAGTCGGGGTCAGTTAGCATTTCAGGTAGAAAGTGGCAAAAGTTGAACCTGTTTTTCCCTGGATTTTGCTTCGTATTGAAGGAATTGGACAGAACGCATAATGCAGGAGGAGTTTTTATGGGTAAGAATCCAAATGTCTGGGAAGGTGTGAGAGAGAGAATGCGAACCTGACTCACCTGTCTCTTCTCCAGTTCCTAATTTAAAAGCAAAGCAGGCCCCGTTCAGAGCTCTTAGATCTTATAAACACCATACCTAGAAAGACAGTGTTAGCTGCTTACCAGGAAGTTTATCATCTCAAGAAAATAAACTGGAAGTTCTTGTTCTTTCCAAAAAAAAAAAAAAAAGAAGTAAACTCAAACCAGAAAATCCTCCGGTTTGGATGTGAGTCTGTTTTATTTCCGTCTTCACTGCCCGCACACCGTCGGAGGCTTGTTCTAGGAACCTCCGTCTTTGTATGAGACCAGCTCATTCCTTGTCGTCCTAGCAGAGACTCGAACTCCGCTTTTTCACCATGTATGTCAAGTGCTTCTTTCTTCCCGTCATTAACTTAGCAACATGGCTCTGCAGACGCCCTCCTTGCAGCTGCCCCGAGACGTCCCTTACAGAGCCAGACTGATTTCCTGATGGCGAGGTCCTTTCTTCTCTTTCCATCCCCTAAGCGTCAGTCGGGACTATATTAAGCCAAGCCGTACTCTGTGAATGAAAGCAGGAAAACTCGAGATAGTATAGCAATGAGGAATGTGAAACGGCTTTGAAGTATTCACATGTATTCCATGTACATTAGCATCTGGGAAGCCTCTTCTGTACCCAGGATACCGTCCTCGATTCTGTGGGCCCTACACCTGCCCTTGCCCTCCCTCCGTCCCCGGCTTCCACGCCGTTCAGCCCTCTGAGCTTGTGTGCTCTTGATTACAACAGCAGTTTCCCGATTAATCTTCCTGCTTCCACTCCTGACCCGAGTAATCCGCGTCCTACGCAGCAGGCGGCGAGATCATTTTACACTGTAAACTAGATCGTGTTACTCTTTGTTTGAAACCTCACCATGAAATCCAGACCTCTGCATCTGGCCTCTGTGGACATTCAAGGTCTGCCCCTGTCTCACCTCTGCAACCTCATCTCACACTGGCTCCCCCCCACACACACACTTCGCTCCGCTTGCCGTCCTGGGTTCTTCAGACGTACCACGCTCTCACCCAACTCCGTGGCCTTCCGTTTGCGCTCCCTGGTCGTCTTGTGGCTGGGCTCTTCTTGTCGTTGACATTTCAGCTGAAATAATACCTCCTCAGGGGGAGCTGCCCTAGCTGCTCAATCCAGCTGACGTGTTCTGTTTTCTTTGTTTGCATGCTCGCAATGTGTAAAACACGCCCCCCCAAGCGTAAGCTCCGCGAGTGTCAGGGCCTGCTCGGTCTTGTCCACGCCGTCCCCGCGTACGACAGGAGGGCTTGGTAAGCACCTGCTGGGTGTGCACTCGCCCTGCACCACGGGCCCCTGCGGCTGCGCTGTGCTGGGTGCCTGAGTGAGGGTTGTGTGGTTACATGGTACCTGCCTT